GGTCCCGGCATCGCTTGTTTGGCATGATCCGTTGACTTCAAGCAGATCGAACTTCCGCTGGGTCGCCGACTTCTCCGATAAACTGCGCTTGCTTTGCTCCGATCGCTCGGCGCGCTGCGCTTGCTCGGCCGTGGAGTAGTAGGTAGAGTCGACGCGAGTGGTGCCGGCAAAACTTGAGCCATCCGGACCAGAGCTTGAGGCCGCAGCATCGTCAACGGGAAGGCTAGCCGATGGTCCCGGCAGATCCAATGCGTTCGGCAGTGGCGCAGATCGTAGCGGCGCACTTGCAGGTGTTGTCTTCCGCTTGTTCCACGCACGTCGCGTCTTCCTCCCGAACGTCCGCCGCGTACTCTCTTTCAATCGAGAGTCCCCCGGCATCTCGATCGCTCGAAATAAAACTCCCGCAACTTCGTAGCGAGAAACCAACGATGTCCGACGCGAACGCGCGAAAGTAAACGATTTCGAAACAACGTGCACTCAGCCGCGGAACGAACAAAGCGACGGGCCAAAACGAAGCAGACGACGCTTCTCCACGATCCCCTTGCGCTGCTGGAGGCGCGCGCGCCAAGAGGAGGAAAGGAGCAAAAGTGGAAAGGGGCGCGTCTTAGCCTATGACAGGCGCGCGCGGCACGACGTACCCGTGACGTACGCGCGCGGGCCAATGAGCAATCGTTATTCCGGTCGTGAAAACACGTGGAATGCGGACGCTCTCCAAAGTTGTCGCGATAGTGAGTGGGATGAGGACGTAGGGAAGAGAACCAGCTCTCCAACAAGACCAAGATGGCCGCGATCCGACGATCGGTCGTGAAGCGACGCGGGCGCGCAGTTTGACTATTTTTTGCGTTTGATTCGCGATTTGAGCGTCGCGGAGGCATCGTATTTATCGTTTTTTTTATACTTAGACGTCGAATAGGACATTGAAACTTCGCAGGCAGGTACTTCAGACTATATTCTATCCAAACATGTGATTTTTGAAAAACCCCAAATTTCGCGATTTTTTACCACTTTAAGACCCGCGTCTCGCCTTAAGAGAGGCATAGTGAGGACATGCCTGAGATCATCACTTGAGAAATCTTGTGCTCACACAGTTCAGAGTAGCTTTGATTCACAGGCCCAACGTTTGTTGAGAGCAGGATTTCCACCTTCCATCATAAGGGCGGTAGCAGAGTCTATGTTGAAGGCCTTGCGTATGCGGGCTAAGGAAACAATGGGTCACTTGGAGGGACCAAAAAAATTTGAGGTCATCCCATATATACACGGGGTTTCTCACAATTTAAAAAGAGTCACTACTAAGTTCCAAGTAGATGTGGTTTTTTCAGCCCCGTGTAAGCTCTCCCGGGTATGCGCCTTAACCTCAGAGCGGATCGCTCACAAGGATGGTCGCAACACCAAGCATTACAACCAGTTCGTACCTTGCTCAACGGGAGTGGTTTACCACATCCCGTTATCTTGCGGGAAAGTATATATCGGACAGACGGGTAGATGTCTAAATGATAGACTGAGGGAACACGGAGCCTTTTTGAATTCAGCAAGCGCAGCGCACCTTGCCCTACACTGTAAAGACTGTGGGTGTAAACCAAATTTTGGTGCCACTGAGATAAAAGGTTGCAACAAAGACAAACTCACTAGGGAAATTTCTGAGGCGGCCCAGATTTCCTACAGTGGAAGTGACAAGTGTGTTAGCGCACCATCTATTTCATTATTAGACAGAGAATTAGGTTTTTTGTTTACTTCCCAGTTCCATCGCTCTTCTCTCGCTCGCGCTCACCATCGTCCTCAGTTTCCTCGCTATCCCGCTCGCGTTCACCACCGTCCTTAGGTTTTCTGCCCTCAGCGTGCCCATTCGAGCCAGTGATAGTGCATCTCAGCGGCCCACATGTACATTGCATTCCTTCGTTAAAGGAAGTGAAAGATTAAAAATTCAGTTGTAAGTCTGCGCCTGTGTTGTGTTGCTCGCTCCTTTCAATTGTGTCCCGTCTTTTTTGCGGTTTTCCATCTTAACCCTTTCAGTACCGTAATAATTTTTCATGTAACATCCTCAAAATTCTGAATTATTTTATTCATGCAACCTGTTCAGCCTAGTCCGTAGAGCACAATCATATAAAAAATTTTATCAAAAGCAGAGCATAAATGGACAAACAATATTTTTATAAATGTTAAAAAGGGGGCTTTACTGCACGTAATGTGGAAAAAGTGGGCTTCACTGCACATACTCACTTTATTTTATTCATGAATTTACAAAGCAATTCTGTCAACATCAGCACCTAGTGTCTCTGTTCACGAGACTACGGGCTTAGTCAGTCCCAGGACATCCCGTTCAAAAGTTTGCCTTTGTGTGATATGTGCGAAAACACTGTATCGCACACAGGGCGACACCACAGTCTGGGCACCACGTCCTTGTTTCCTTGCAAGCTTTTTTTGTCTTGTGCAGACAACGCATCTTCTTGTTGGGCTCTCTTTCTTCTCAGTTGGAGGTAGGTAGTCTGGGAAGTGTCGCTCAGTCAGTCGCGAGAAAGTGTTGTCAGAGAGCCTCCCTTTCTTGGGTCGACTCTGAGGGTCACAGTTCAGTTGAATGAGTCCCTCCACTAACTTGAGCCTGAACTCAAGATGTGTGGTGGTGTTGCCACTCTTCTGGTAGATAATGAACGCATTGTAGATGGCCATGTCTAGCAGATGACGGAACACCTTTTTGTAGTATATTTTCTGTCCATTTCTTGCACAGGGGTAATATGAAAGATTTTGGTCACTCTTGTCAACACCACCCATGGTGTTGTTTTAATTCATCACTATCAGTGGCTTGGACGCAACTTCACCTCTCTGGTTTGTTACATCCACCATTGCCACAGAGTGCACCGTGCTGAGGAAGGTTACCACCTTCTTGTCCTTCCACTGAAGTGAGAGGCACTTGCCTTTTTGGTAAGCTTCAGTTTGACCTTTCTCAAGTTGTCTTGTATCGAAGCTCGGCATTCCCTTGCGTCCAAATCGTGCTGTTCCGTAGACATCTGTCTTGCGCTCCAGAAGTGCTTCAACTAGTTCGGGTGAGTTGTAATAGTTATCCACGGTTACACAGTAGCCCTTATCGAGAAGGGGACTCATCAGGGACAATACCACACGTGTACCCATGGCCACATCTGCGTCACCAACAACAGCACCTTTCCCATGTACATAAGCATGTTCCAGATGTAACCACTGGAGGACTCGCACAGTACGAAAAACTTGACGCCAAAACGGGCACGTTTCAGTGGCATGTACTGTTTCCAAGACAGCCTGCCTTTGAAACGAAAAAGGCTCTCATCAACTGACACATCTCGCTCTGGTGTGTAGAGAGTTTGAAACATCTCGGTCATTCTGGTGAGCACGGGCCACAGTTTTCTAAGCTTCGGGTTCGGGTGCCCGTCGACTGGCGCCTCGTTGTCAGTGAAGTGTAGAAATTTCATTATCAGCATGAAGCGGTCGCGGCTCATTACGTCTCCCAATGCAGGCGTGCGGAGAACCTCTCTTGTTGACCAGTAAGATTTCACGTTTGGTTTCTCAATGACCCCTTGCAGAATGATGAGCGCGAAGAAGGTCATCAGTTCTTTTTTGTCGATCTGTCTCCATGTTTTGAGGTGGGAAGCGTGGTGCGACCGAAGAAACTGGGTTGCGTAGCGGTTGGTCTCTGCGACAATCAGGTCGACCAGCTCTTCATCGAAGAACTGTTCAAAATATTCGACAACGCCGTCACCTTCTTCCAGGTGGCCCTTGAATCCCGGTGATCCCACAAAAGGGAAACGAGGTGGCGCACGAGGAATATCGCCCACGTCGATCTTCGTCCACACACGTGCGGTGTCGAAATCATCATCAATCTCTGTGTGGCTCTCATCTGAAGTCAAATAATCAATCAACGACTCACCAGAATCACTTTCCAATTCGTAGTCGCTTTCACTCGAAGAAGTTTCAGAAACTGCGCGCTGTTTCCTTTTTTTTCCTTGTTTCGCAACGCGTGGACACACATCGTGCGGCCGCCCGGACGACGCCATTTTTAAAGTTCAGTGTAGCCAGCAGCCTCATGAAAAAACGTCTAAATTCAGCTAATTTCACCGGTTTTGACTTCTCCTGCCATCTGTCGGTCGTTCTAAGAAGCTCCGTGATACAGACAAGCTGAATTCGTCCTCAGGATCGTTGTATTGATAATGCGGACTCTGGACGAGCTGTACTCGTCTTCAGGATTATTTGTGCGTAAATGGTGGACGAGCTCAGCTCGTCTTCCGTACTGAAAGGGTTAAACATGTATAACCAACTAGGCCAACAGAGTACTCTACTCCTCATTATTTGCGTGGCATTTATCCCCTTTTGATCCTTCTATATTTGTGTACTGTGGTATTACGCAATCAGAAAACAATGACTGTTTGGTTCACCCTTGAACCTACACGACAGCAGACTAGTACCTGGATGAATTGCGATGTGACCAGTGGAACTGGTAGTTTTTATTACAAGTTGTGTCACCTGACATAAGCAGCATGAACTCCCAAGTGCAAGAGGTCATATTCTGTTGTTTGCGTTTCTGTTTATCCCGGTAATACAAATGTGCTCGCTGTTGGTGGTTCCATCGCGGCGCCACATGTTTTAAAACCAGCAGCGTGCTTTGGGCAGCTGTGAGTGGAAATCAGGGAGCATTTGTGGTAGAGCCATATCGATATGATATGGCTCTACCACGTAAATGGTGGACGAGCTCATATGCTCGTGACCATGGGGTTTGTCTTCTTTAATGCCTTTGCGTTTTAAGTCAGGTTACATGTCTTCCTTGACAGTACCGTTTTATTTCACGTTTTCCTCTTCAATGTGTCCAGAGTGTTCCACTGTAGTTGCCTTCACATGTGCTTTCTTCTCTTCTAAGCAGTTTGTTCCAATTTAGAATGTACACCGACTGCTTTTAGTCTTACTCCAGTAAATAAATATTTACTAGAATGATCTAATCAAAACTGGAGGGGGGTGACCAATTGTAAACTTTTCCTTTTTAGCGAGTGATCTCACTGGGACCAGCTCCTCGGAGCAAGGTAAGCCACATTTTCGTATTCTTGTAGAAGTCATACTTTGCTTATTGCTTGGTTGCATTGAAGTCCAAATCAGCAAATGATAAAAGTCGCAATGTTTCAGTTGAGAGGTCTTCGGGCTGGGCAGCAGCTCTCAAAGTGATTACTTCGAAACTCCTTGGTCGAGCAGATCATTCTTTGGTTCCATCAGCACCCACATCGATCACCCTCTCACCCTAACGTTTTAAGATTGAGAAAGACCAATTTCGCAGCTCATTCAAATATCTGTACTTTTTCAGTTCTGCTATCATTGCAATAGAGCTCACGCAGGTTGGTTTTTAAACTCTTCTATTCTTACAGGTATAATGCCTGGTGGTCAGCATTATGGTTCACGGAGACAGGGGAGTTCGCAAACCCTAGCAACAAACTTTGTTGCTGGTTGCTAGGGCTTGTGAGATGACAAATTGTGAGAGCCTCTGGTCTGGGGGTTACTAGCAACTTGCCAAAATATCCCCCTCCTCTTTTCCCCGATCTTTAAGTGGCAACAACTTTAGGTAAAATTGTTGCCAGCTTGCATTGTACTTGGAGTAGAAGAGCTGAAAAGTCAGCCTGGAAGAAGTCTGTTGCAGTGGTAGAATGAAGAAAACAGTAAGCATATTACTCCAAAGGTGAACATATTTGACAGAATTCTGTCTGGTTGGGTAGAAAATCAGGAAAAAAGGAATTTGCCAACCAAATGTGGAAAAGATCTGGAAAAAGATAGTCCCAACATTTCGAAACTATTTGTTTCTTCTTCAGGGGATGAATAAAGGATGTCAGTCTCTTCATCTTTTAGGTGTTACATCACTTTGTCTTTGTCGGTGTTGTTGGGTTAGCTTTGTCGTGCCCTATCCGTTATCCCATTGTGGAGGCCGTTCACATATAACGTAGGAAGTGTCCCTAGTGACCTATTGATGATGTTTGAAGTGTGTTGAATATGCCATGATTCAATGAGCCGCCTCCTACGTAGATTTGGTGCCGTGTCCAGGATGCTTGCGTTCTCAAATGCAATACGGTGGTCGAGGTTATCACAGTGTTCAGCGAAAGCACTGCGCTCTTTGTCAAAGTTTCTCACATCGTTCTTATCTACGCGAAGCTGGTCGTGAAAGTCCTTTGTTTCGCCGATGTAAGAGGCAGGGCACTGGGAGCATGGGATCTTATAAATGACACCTTAATGGGGCCTTCGCCTTCGGTGGTCTGTTCTTAGGGCGAGGTAGAAAGCATCCGACAGCCGACACTGGTTTGTGAGCAACCAGGACGTGTTCTTTTGCAAACAGTCGGGATAGCATTTCGCTTATCCCTTTCTTGTAAGGGATGCTAATTCGTGTTATCGGTTTGGAAACTGTCGAAGGTTGTTTCATCCGATTACGGTTCTGACGACGGATGACGTGGTGAATGAAGTTACCGGGGGAGCCGTTCTTCCTTAGGTCGTCCATGATAATCCGTTCCTCCTTTCTTTTGTCGTCCTCAGATGAGCACAAGGTGTTGGTTCTGTTAAAAAGAGTAGAAACGACAGATACCTTATGGCCGACGGTGGTTGGAGTCGAACTGGAGGTAATGGTTGGAGGACTCGAACCACCCTGTCGGCCATAAGGTATCTGTCATTTCTACTCTTTTTAACAGAACCAACACCTTGTGCTCATCTGAGGACCACAAAAGAAAGGAGGAACGGATTATCATGGACGACCTAAGAAAGAATGGCTCCCCCGGTAACTTCATTCACCACGTCATCCGTCGTCAGAACCGTAATTGGATGAAACAACCTTCGACAGTTTCCAAACCGATAGCACGGATTAGCATCCCTTACATGAAAGGGATAAGCGAGATGCTATCCCAACTGTTTGCAAAAGAACACGTCCTGGTTGCTCACAAACCAGTGTCGGCTGTCGGATGCTTTCTACCTCGCCCTAAGAACAGACCACCGAAGGCGAAGGCCCAATTAAGGTGTCATTTATAAGATCCCATGCTCCCAGTGCCCTGCCTCTTACATCGGCGAAACAAAGAACTTTCACGACCAGCTTCGCCAACATAAGAACGATGTGAGAAACTTTGACAAAGAGTGCAGTGCTTTCGCTGAACACTGATAACCTCGACCACCGTATTGCATTTGAGAACGCAAGCATCCTGGACACGGCACCAAATCTACGTAGGAGGCGGCTCATTGAATCATGGCATTTTCAACACACTTCAAACATCATCAATAGGTCACTAGGGACACTTCTTACGTTATATGTGAACGGCCTCCACAATGGGATAACGGATAGGGCACGACGAAGCTCACCCAACAACACCGACAAAGACAAAGTGATGTAACACCTAAAAGATGAAGAGACTGACATCCTTTATTCATCCCCTGAAGAAGAAACAAATTTCGAAATGTTGGGACAATCTTTTTCCAGATCTTTTGCACATTTGGTTGGCAAATTCCTTTTTTCCTGATATTACTTCAAAGTGTGGAACTGCTTTGCTCATGACTGCAAGTTATCAGATTGTTAGGTCACACAGGACGGGAGAGAGACTTCAAAACTAATTTTAATTGCACTCCAGTTCGTAGAAAGAATAACACACAGAAGGACGAGACACAAACACAAACACTCACATACACAGGGACAGGACACGAACACAGGCACGCATACAATCTTTCTGATTTTATCTGTGTCTGTTTGTGTGTCTGTGTTTGTGTCCTGTCCCTGTGTATGTGAGTGTTTGTGTCTTGTCCTTCTGTGTGTTATTCTTTCTACGAACCGCAGCGCCTTTCACCAACATGCTCCCTTTGCTTCTAATTTTAATTGTCAGAGAGAGGCTAACAAAATTTGCACCATGTGTCTACTATGTTAGCCAACTGTTCTGGGCCGAAATAATTTTTGTCATTACATTGTGGTTCAGCCTCATCGACATCATCTGGGCAAAGCCTGACCAGACTGGACGGTGCCCTGGAGGCGCCTTCAGGTTCCATTGAGGAACTCCCGGCAGGAGCTGGGATGACGTTGGGGGCCTCAAATTGTAAGTCCTCCAATTTTTACTGAATGCAACCAAGCACAACACCAGTCAGTGGTCCTTGTGTTAGCCTTTTTAATGTTTTATTTGCTAACACCGACCTAACCGAAGGAGCTTTGACATGTGGTTTTTTGTCTTTTTTATATATATATATATATCCTTTGACGTCAGCCATCTTGATAGTGGCAAAATGAAAGTGTGAAGTATTTATGCTCAAGGTCTGAATATTTGGTGAGTAACTGGCCACAAGGTGGTGGGCACTCCAGCTTTTCTCCGGGTATTTTATACTCAGAAACCTGTAATCTAACTTGCGAAAGCAAGGGCCTGCCGGCCTGTTTAACCACTGTTATAGTAGACTTGTTTGCACTGGCTGTCCTAGTTTAAGTGTGCCGGGCTGGCATTTTGAACCTGTCGGCTGCAGTGCTGGGATATGGTTTCCAAATTAAGCTTAGGAGTTTAAGAATGTTGGAACATTCATATCTTTTATTCAGCATGATTCTACTAGGAGCCAAATGTGGGAATTACTAGCTAGTAATTAGCTTGTCAGCTTTGGACCTTATAGCGTAACCATCATTTATCTTTTTTTAATGCTTCAGCTGAATAGTGCATGAATAAGAGGTAATTGCTGTAATGTGTTTCCCTCTGGCAGCGACACAGCTACCTTTTCTTTTACAGCTAATTTGTATAGTATTTCCTAGTATAGCAGCCGTTGAGTTGTACTGTCAAAATAGCTGAAATAACTTTGCTGACTATGATTGCACCTCCTATGTTAGTTATGGTGCAACAAGGTTGCTGATCAGCTTATGAGACCAGCTCTACCCAATGCTATCTCCTTCACTCTGGGGATTTCTCAACATATTCCTTGCATTGGTGGAAAACTGATGTAATTTTTTGTCTACCATTTGTTGCATTGACATGATTGATGCACAGCTGATACAACCTGGCTGGTTTATGACAGGGCTTAATGCAGCCCTTTTTCATACAGCCATGTGCTTTCTTTTATGGTTCAAATATGAGATAATAAAGATCAAGGTTAAATATAATTGTTTTTTTTTTGTATTTGCAGGCTGCTGCTATGCACACTGCAAAATATATATTTTATTTATGAATTTTTTCACACCATTTATACAATGGGCAAAGTGTGTGCAACCACGGTGTGTGAGTTGTGTACTCCAAAACTTCCATCTGCTGGCAGCCTCAAATTTAGCACACACATAACAGTGCTTGTCTCTTAGCGAGTGCAGTCATAAACATATATCTTTTTAGGTTCACGGCTCCTGATGATTTCTTTTATCAGTCAAGCCATTTTAATCTTTTGCTTTTAAAGAAGGGAACGACTGGTGTCCGCTAGTGCTGCACAGCTTACTTCTCCATAGGACCCAGGGCCAGAGCTTGATAATACATTAATCACCCTAATTAATCTTCCATTTCAGGTCCAGAGCAGTCTCCAATAGTTAAGCTGGTGCTTGAGCTTCGGCTACAGAATGGGGAGATTTTGCGGCAGTTGGGGGCGATGCAGCAGGACATTAGAAACTTAAGTTTTAATTTATCGCAAATGAAGGCCTCAATGTCTGCTGCACCGCCTTCGCCGGAAATGGCTCCAGAGCCGTCGCGGGCGCCCCTTCCAAAGCTGCCCGCGGCGACTATGGAAGAATTCAGGGAATTGGAAAATGCCCTGAAGGATAAAGCTAGAGCCACAGCCCTGGTATGTTGCACTTTCCTCCTTTCATATGATGATTTTTCCAACATGCACTGCAGTGCTTGTCGCTGGCTCATAATGTCAACTATCATACTCGGCCACTAAACGGGTGGACACTGCATTTGCTTTACTCAATGTTAATAAATGATAGCTTTTCAGTATGAAGAAAAATGAAAACTGGTTGTGTCGTCATAGCCGTGTTTCTGTGTTTGATTTGGTATTTGGTCATGCTTCTATATTTCCGTTGTCCCTTGTTTTTCACAGCAGCTGGAGGTGGCTACGTGGGTCAGGGCAACTGACACGGTTGCCGAGGCCTGCCGAAGCCTTCTGGAAAGGGCCCTCAAGAAGGAGGTCCAAATAAAATTTAGCCTCCTGGGCCGGAAAGGCAAGCTACCTTTCCGGGGGACCCTCCTCTGCCGCATTGTGACAGGTATGATTATATTTGCTTAATTGATCAACACATTGATAGATCCTTGTTATTCGAGTTTGCTGAAGTGCATGCAACTGCTTGACTCTTATAGCATGTCACTTTCAAATCAAATCCTTTATTTGTGCCTGTGATGTAGCATATAGTACAGGCACTGGGAGGCACACAAAAACCCAGCAGTTGTTGGCTTGACAAGGTTTGCACACTTGTTCACTCAGCAAGCAGCAAGGTGACAAATGTGATACAAAGAAAAATATAAGAGAAAAAGAATTGCACCAATAAATGTTAGTAAACACTATAAACTATTTGGGGGTTAGTTTACAGAGCTTGAAACATGATTTGTCTCATCGAAGGGTGGTCACAGGTTCTATTTGTACATTTTGTCATAATAATTGGTTTGGTGATGATGGGAGATGATGCTTTAACATTTGTGTGCAGTGGTTAGTTAAATTATGAGGAACAGTCAATAGGCTACCATCACGTAGGTTACAGGCAGTAGTGATCTCAGTCAGGTGAGGTATGGAGGGTAATCTCAGTGTTAAATTTATTATACTTTAATTATGTACCATATGGTGCTAGAGAATATTCACATTGGCTAGTATTTGGAAGGTTCATTGTATGAAAAAGATTTTTAGTCTTGAGTGTTATATTTTACATTTACAATAATACACACAGCCTTTTTCTAAAGTAAGTTCGTTTTCAACAATGCTTCTAATCTGTTATAGCGTAACATATTTAGTTCAAAAGGCCTATTATAGTGCCTGAAAATTCTAGCTATGCCTGAATGCAGCATATACTCTATCTCACAAGTTGCATGCAGTGTACTGCAACTGTAGCCCTTGTCAGCCAATCAAGAACATAAATGCACCAGTGTACATGTGTTCTTGCACAGCGTATCAGTCTTCGCCTGCATTGTCTGGTCTCTGTAGAAGCCATTACAGGCAATTAAGTTATTCCTTACAGTCTGCCGAGTCATTCCATATGCCTGAATAGTTCATACTCTATAAATACAGCATAATCTCGATGATAGGGATTACCTGAGAACACGAAAAAATATTCATATAATCCTGAATTTGTTTAATCCAAGACAAGCTAACTTGTGTGTATACTTTGTCTGTGATGTTTGTTTGCACTCTTCTGCCCTTGTATTTGCTCATAAGCCCCATCCGAAATGCATAAAGCTGCGCGCAGCGCTTTCTCGGCTCATATTGCTTGCACTTATGGTGCAGCATGGAACATCAAGAGCGTTAAGTGTTTCTACCATCGACGACACAGCTTTGTTGGGTATGTGAGTTAACCTTGGCTCGTTGGGCTGTGAGCCAGGCATGCTGCCGCTTGGCCAGCATAGACTGGAGGTGGAGAGGGGGCCAGCGGCAACTGTGCGTACTCTCTTCCCCTCTAAGACCAGCTGCGCCCACCCACTCGTTTCGCATGCACCGATGGTTCACGTGCTCATATCACCCGGGACGACTTGAGTACTGTTTGTATCATCCTGAATGGCAATATATTCAATATTGCCCGGACCATCTTTAAATTCACGTGACCCTGAAATTCCGGTCAATCGTTATTGTATCATCGACATTTGACTCTGTGCAATCTGAGCCGTACCGGAACTTGTAACCGCATTGGGTACTCCTCCACCTCGTCGCACCTTGCAGCTCCACACTGCACACAACTACTGAGACAGAGTATGGCTGTGCAGTGCTGATGGGAACCTCTTCTTAGAATGGAAGTGTGGTCATTAGTATAGTAATCAGTAAAAGAGAGGAGCATGTTGCTTCTCTGTACCTAGCTCTTGACCTGACATCTGTATTTTAATTACTACTGCTCTGGATAGAGATTTAACCCTGGTTGGATCCAATTTCCTGATCCTAAGACTATTCTAAGTATTAGCGGCAACCGTTATGCCTTGATGTTTAATGCAGAACGTTTAAAATTTCCACTTTCAGAGACCATCAAGAGTGCGAAGGCTGCCAATGTGCCAGATGTTGAAAAGGCCATTGGCAGGTACCTGGCCGGTGCTGTGGACCGGGAGGGGGGCAGGCGCCAGAGGTTTTGCCGCCAAACAGAGGCCATTCAACTGCCAACTGGCGATCTGTGAAGTGCAAAAAAAATAGCACAGAAAGTTGTTTTCAAAATAAATTATTAGCAAAGAAATTATTTTGTTCATTTGCATGGCAAACTAAAATGCACGCAATATTTTCTGATGGTAAAATTATATATTTTTAGCCTGCATGTTGCAAAGAAAATCTTCAGTGTTATCAATACAAGAGAGATAAAACTATTATCTGTTGTTGCAGTTGTACATTATATTGCCAAATATCGGGAAGAGCCTGGCGGCAAAGGGTTACCAGTGCAAGTGTGGTAAACTGCTCAACCATGGTGCCAGGAGAAAGGCACGCCCAATATTTGTAGTAGCTTGGCGAAAAAGGCCTTCGGACATTTGGCTGCCGTTCCGACAGAGATTGGCAGCCAATTTTAATGTGGTTGGCAAAACCTATCTAGGCTAAAAGGGCAGTGCCGTTATGCCCAATATTGGCTGAAAATGGGCAAGCGGAGTGGTCCAATATTGGCTGAAAATGGGCAAACAGAATGGTCCAATATTGGCTGAAAATGGGCAAATAGAGTGGTCCAATATTGGCTAAAAACGGGCAAACAGAGTGGTCCAATATTGGCTGAAAATGGGCAAACAGAATGGTCCAATATTGGCTGGAAATAGGCAAACAGAGTGGTCCAATATTGGCTGAAAACGGGCAGAATGGTCCAATATTGGCTGAAAATGGGGAAATAGAGTGGTCCAATATTGGCTGAAAATTGGCATACAGAATGGTCCTATATTGGCTGGAAATTGGCAAACAGAGTGGCCCAATATTGGCAGGCTAGCTGGCCCAATATAGCGCCTGGTAGCGTTTGCCAATATTGACCAATATTGGTACCAGCGTGAGCCGATATAGGACCGTCATTGGACCAATATTGGGGTGCTACTTGGGATGTGTGCTCACTGTTACCTGTATGTCACCTAGGGATGTCAATTTTAGAAGCGTAATGCTTTGAGACTTTTTGGCAACTTCTACAAGCAGATCACCAGAATGCAGTTTCTTTGCCTTGTAATCAGCACCAATCTGACTGTCGAGAACCTTTGCTACAAGAAACGGTGACATCTTAGAGAGAGGTTTGTCAGGAACCTCGGAGTGGATCACCATGAATCTTGAAAAAGTTTCATCTTTATCATTTACTATGACTGTCCATTCAGGACGATGCCTCTTAGCGGCACGTCCAGAACTGGGGGTTTTGGTTTGGGGGGTTGCCATAAGAGGCGATGTTTGTTCGGAACCTGTGGTGTGCCGCCCACCACGGAGCCCAACATGGGAATAGATAACGCACCATAACAAAAAGGGCTTTCCTGGAGACGTTACGCTATTAGCACTGCCCAGGAACTATAACCAAGTGTGGTTCTGGACAAGGGGTCTGTCGCCACCCAAGGTTAGCCCTTGCCGCCAAGGAAGTTGAGGAAGGAAAGAAGAGAAATGAGAAGAGTGAAACGAAAAAGAAGACAAGTGTGAAAGAAGGGAGGGGATAGTAGAAGATGTGGCGACTAGACTGAATCATCCTGGCCGGGCCTTACCAGGACTCCTGTCTATGAGAAGCGGGGGACGAAGTGGTGTATTGCCTCGCCCGGGGGGCCCCGAAGGGTCCAAACCTACCCCGGGCTCGGCTCAACCACCAGGATGCCCTTTTCCCCAGACACGGGACAGCCACGCACAGCCAGGCGTGGGCGGGCGAACCCGCATGGCTCGGGGTCCGTGGAGACGCCACTCTCCAAACACCTGCTTTCACAGGTGCCCCGTGCGGGGTCGGTAACAGAAGTTGTGAGGAATTTCTATCAGACATGCATGTCACACCTCGAGCGATGGTGCAACCAGTTCGATGAAATCAGCGGTCTCTCGGGCCTCTCTCGACACAGCACCACTTTAAGACGATGTTCGAAAAAGTGCAAGTCATCGCTTTAGAGTTCAGCCACGTCCGTCTTGAGGAGAACGCTTTATTTGATGAGGCATGCAACGTTTCGCTTTATGTCACGGCCAAAAAGCTGGACGGATGAAAGAGCCAGAAGAAACCGGTGCGCCATGTTGCACCAAATTATATATCCTGTGCCTGCGCCACGCTATCACATTCACACTTTTCGCATAATGTCGTAAGTGCCACAAGGAATCCCACTGCCTAAGGGAAGAGCAAGGAGTACAGAAAAAGGTCCACTACTGTCATCACCTCGCTGCTTCAAGGCCGAGAAGTTTCGTGACGGATGGCCACTGCCATTGTTGCCAGACAATAGAAAATGGAGAAATTAGGTGATCTTCGCATAAAAGAAATACTTCTCATAACTAAAAGAAATTGGAGGGCCCTAAAAGGTGCCATTTTAATAATTCTGTAGAATATTCGAGCGCCTCCAAATCATTTTCAAATCTGAAACGTGGAAAAAACGAAGGTTCCGGCCAGCCAAATGTCGCAGCAGAACAGGCCGAACACTCAGTTCCACGCACCAGTACGGACTCCAGAAAAGAGGAGACAGCCATGTCAGCAGGAAAGCAGCTTGCACCCCCCACACACTGATCAACAACCACGCACGCGTTGCTGGGAAAGAACTTCCAAGCAGCCACCAAGACAGCCGACGACAGCCTCTACGACAGGTTTCAGCAAATGTCCGGCAGAAAGTTCTGGCCAGCCAAATGTCGCAGCCGAACAGGCCGAACACTTAGTTCCACGCACCAGTACGGACTTGAGAAAAGAGGAGACAGCCATGTCAGCAGGAAAGCAGCTTGCACCCCCACACACTGATCAACAACCACGCACGCGTTGCTGGGAAAGAACTTCCAAGCAGCCACCAAGACAGCCGACGACAGCCTCTACGACAAGTTTCAGCAAATGTCCGGCAGAAAGTTCTGGCCAGCGAAATGTTGCAGCCGAACAGGCCGAACACTCAGTTCCACGCACCAGTACAGACTTGAGAAAAGGGGAGACAGCCATGTCCACAGAAAAGCAGCTTGTACCCCCACACACTGATCAACAACCACGCACGCGTTGCCGGGAAAGAACTTCCAAGCAGCCACCAAGACAGCCGACGACAGCCTCTACGACAAGTTTCAGGAAATGTCCGGCAGAAAGTTCCGGCCAGCCAAATGTCGCAGCCGAACAGGCCGAACACTCAGTTCCACGCACCAGTACGGACTTGAGGAAAGAGGAGGCTTGCACTCACACACGCTGATCAGCAACAACGCACGCGTAGCTGGGAAAGAACTTCCAAGCAGCCACCAAGACAGCCGACGACAGCCTCTACGACAGGTTTCAGCAAATGTCCGGCAGAAAGTTCTGGCCAGCCAAATGTCGCAGCCGAACAGGCCGAACACTCAGTTCCACGCACCAGTACAGACTCGAGAAAAGGGGAGACAGCCATGTCCGCAGGAAAGCAGCTTGTACCCCCACACACTGATCAACAACCACGCACGCGTTGCTGGGAAAGAACTTCCAAGCAGCCACCAAGACAGCCGACGACAGCCTCTACGACAAGTTTCAGCAAATGTCCGGCAGAAGGTTCCGGCCAGCCAAATGTCGCAGCAGAACAGGCCGAGCACTCAGTTCCACGTACCAGTACGGACTTGAGAAAAGAGGAGACAGCCATGTCCGCAGGAAAGCAGCTTGCACCCCCACACACTGATCAACAACCACGCACGTGTTGCCGGGAAAGAACTTCCAAGCAGACACTAAGACAGCCGGCGACAGCCTCTATGACAGGTTTCAGCAAATGTCCGGCAGAGTTCTGGCCAGCCGAAAACAACAAACGAGGGAAAGATAAGGAGTTACTGCATATGGAGGAGTGGAAAGGCAACATGGCCGGACTTGGAGGGCAAAATAAGACACTGTTGGGACCCATGAACATCTGAGATCTGCAATCTCTTGACTGTAGTGTCCTGGCCATCGGTTCTAAAAATGTCTAGGGCAGATGATTTCATCGGAACATCGAAAAAGTTCCTAGCATTTGTTAATGAAGCGACTTCGCACGTGCTTTGAGACACCTCTAAAACGATGACTGGGGATTTCCTGATCAGGTAGCAGTCTCCTTTGTTGATGGTGTGGGGGACTCGTTTTGCAACAGAGAAGCATGTTGCTCCCGCATGTTCAGAAAGCCTGCGGCTAACTTGCGCCAAAGGGTTGCTATGTGTTCGCAGCAGGGGCTTGAGTTTTCCGAGAAAACTCTCGAAAGGGAATGCACTAAATGCGTCAAGTGGTCCATGGACAAGGCACTCCTCGGCAAGGTGGCTCAATGTGTGTACATTGTAGGTTAAAAACCGTGCTCCGTAAAGTCCTACGGTGCCATATTCCTGCACAAAAAAACGAAGCAGGTCTCTGGCATAGGCGTTATGCTCAACGTGGTGAGCTGGTGATGCAAGAATTCTTATGGCCACATGCAAAAAGAGAAAATGTTTGTACTGGTGATCTGGAAACAGGCCCCTCAGAACAAAAGGTCCAACATACAAGAGGAATGTCCGGAATTCTGTTGCCTTCCACCGGTCGACCTCGTCCACACCTCTGGGCTTCCGTTGGAAGTGTCGGGGGAATACTTTGGCACACGACTTTAGTCTTCTGTTGAGTTTTTCCTTCTGCGTGGCCCTCAACAATCCACGCCCCCTAACCCACGTTTGAAGCAGGCGGCGCATCACACCTAGACACACTAGATGCATGTAGTCTAGGGGAAAAAGTGAAATGATATCATTCTTCAGCAGAGTGAACGGCGAGTCACCCACGTGGTGCAATGGATCCTCTTGGTCACGAAATGACTTGTCAGTTCGTTTTGGTGCTTCAAGTTCCGGGAATGTCATCCTTCCCTCAATGTGCCGACCCTTCTGGCAGTACCTCTCACAGCCATGATACCCAGTATGGCCCTTGACCTTCTTAACGAAGCTCCTTGCAGGAGCATCGCATATGACGCCTGTTAAATGGACGGTTAGGCACGAACCTTTGTAAACGAAGCCGTTGGCTGTCATCTCTTGAATTTCCTTCATGAAGGGGTCAAGAAAACTTGAGAGGTCTGGAGGCTTGCCGCTG